CATGCCTTGCTTTCAGTCCTGATGGGAAAGAGTTGCTGTCAGGAGGAAAAGATCAGATACTTGCTCCACTGCCTATTCATTACTGGAAGAAATTGAAGAAAAAACACAATTTCTGTCACACTCAATTTAATCACAATACTTTCTAATAGGCTTTGATGATATGGAAGGTAAATGCTTCTCCTCCAGTTCTTTCCCAGTCCATTTCCAATTGCCATGGAGACTGGATTACAGGATGTGCTTGGACATCATCTGCTGTGGTGAGAAAGCCATTTACAAAGTGCTGTTTAGTTAATTTTATCAGCATCTGACTCTGTGTGTCTGTAACTGAATACAAAACCTCTTTCTCACCTCAGCTCAGCTGCTCCAGTGACTGTAAGCTGCGGATGTGGGATATCCAGACAGGACGTTTGTTAAGAGAGATCCTCTCTAGTTCATCTCTGAGCACATTGTGCTGTTGGGTAAGACAGTTGTGCCATGTTGCAAAGACATACAGAAATGTAACCTGTTAATATTTATGTAGTTTCTAATGTCTTTAGGAGGATTATGTAATGGCAGGCTCCACAGATGGACTGCTGATGGTTTGGAAGTGGGAATCGGGTAGAAATCACCAGGATCCAGGCCCACAAGTCACGTCTCCATCACTGCACTGTTGTCTCCGGTACAGTCAGTGACTAATACACACAAATAGCTGCCTGATATCTAAATATGGGTATGCATCTTCCTCACACTGAAATTTTTTTTTTTTTTTTAAGCAAAACCATTTTTTTGCACACAGATCTGGAAAAGAATTTAAAACCAGAAGACTTACTGGTAGCTTCAGCATCAGAAGATGGAACTGTTAAACTCAGGCATCCACTGCAGGTAACAAATTTTTTAATAATGTAATAGTTTGTTAGATTCTTTAAAAAAAAAAAAAAAAAAAAAAAGTTAATAGCAAATCAGATCTTTTAAATAATTTCCAGAGATTAATTGTCAGGGATCTGGAGGGAGGACTCAAATGCAGAGCGAGTTACAGATTTATTAGACAGATTTGCAGACAAGACGAGAGATGGGGAGGAGGGGAGTGAACACGGTCTAAACAATAGGCAGGGAAAGACTTGTAGACAGGCAGGCCTGGGTGAACGGCCACAGAGTCCAGTCCAGGATGGCAGACCGCCAGAGAGCAGTGAAGGCAGCGAAGCTGGAGGCCGGAGGTAATCAGCAGTGGCCTGACACACCTCACCCACTCGACACTCGTGATGTCTCAGGCACTGCACAGGCCTAGCAGTGTGGTAGACCCAGGGAGAAGACCAGTAGCTCAGCCTGCAGGTCAGGACAGGACAGGACAGGACTAGACTAGGAACTGACAAGAAACGTAATACTCAACAAACAATTTGGCAGGGAACACTCCGTATAATAAATGGTGAGACGAGCTAGCAAACATAGAGACATAAGCACAAACACAAGTTTGGACAATGAACTGACAACACAAGCAGGAAAGGGAGAACCATATAAAGGAGAGGAGAACACGAGGAACAGGTGGGAACACTCAGACAAACAAGGAGAGAACGAGAGGGACAGTTGACGACACTCAGACAAACGAGGACTAAACAAAGGGGCGTGGCAACGGGAAACAAGGAGGCAGGACGAAAGGAGCACATGGCAGACAACAACAAAGACAGAGTCATGTGCTCACACACAACACAAACAAGGAAACGTTAAACAGTGACAAAACAAACGGCAGGATCCTGACATTAATTCTAGTCATGCATAATATCGACTGATGACTAGTATGGTATCAATATATTTAATTTAAGTGTTTTATTTTTATTTATACAGTATAGCATAGAATTTCAATATTGTATATAATTTTGGCCAACATCAACATTTGTTGCTATTGGCATAAAATTAAAATAATTCTCATCTTATTTGTATCAGCCAGAATTTATCAGTGCATCCCTAATTTATTCCCAAAAATTTTTTTCATAGGTACAGCATCACAACACTCTGCATGGTCACAGTGCAGAAATCCAGTCTTTAGTGTGCAAAAAGACCGGACCGCCGGAGTTTCTCACTGTCTCAGCTGATCGTTCCCTCAGGTCATGGAGGGTCACCACAGCAATGGGTATGACAGAATGGTCAAAAAAGCAGAATCTTAATTGATGCAAAAATCGCAACACTTGTTTTCTTGTGAAACTATAGCAGTGCATCCAAATATAGCATTTGTTTGGTATTATTAACTTAACTTTTTTTATATAAATTCATCCACAGAAACCCCTCACTGCCAGAAAGGCAGTGTCAGAGTTGTGCACTTCCTGGGTACTGATGATCTCATGGTGTGTGGTTATGACACAGGCAGATTGGAGATATGGCATCAGAATTCAATAGTTTACTGTAAGAAGGTAATCATGGGTTGGGAACTGACATTATTATTTGTTGATCAGTTAGTAAAAATACAGTGTGAGTGTGCTCTGCACCCTCTTTCAGTTGGAAATGTCAGAGTGAACGGCTCTGTGTGTGTTGTTTGAAGGTCAGGGATGCCAGACGATGAGCTGGCGGTCAGTTGCAGCGACTGCTCTGTATCTGGAAGCTGGAGCGGGACTCCCAAGAAGTGCATTATGGGGTAATGACTTTTAACTCTTTTTCACTTCCATACTTCAGTTCTGCAAATTTGTTACTTAAATTCACTTTACATTTTGCTCACAATTAAAATGATTGATTTTAATTTGCATTGTTTTATTTTACATTTATTTAAACAAAACGGTATAGATTTTAATATCTGCCATTTATCGGTTATTATTATTTTGTTTTGTTCCAGGCTCGATAAGGTGTCTTCATACAAAGTGGAGTCTCCTTTGAGCTTTTTGTTTTACTGTGGCAGTCTGTTTGGTGTGTATATGGGTGGAACAGTCACTGATGTGCTCTCTAGTAAAGCAGCTTATAAGTAAGTAATCACCACAATTTTTATATAAAAGCTGTCCTGCAATCCTGTTTTTCCATGCAAGGTGGCACATAGTGAAAAATAACATTCCTTTACTGGGTAATAAAAAGTAAATGTACAGTATGTGTGTTTCATTGTAGCTGGTTAAGAAGAGTATGTCCTCTCGGCATGATGGCGAATGACAGCAAGAGCTTTTGGCTGTTGGGTCAGAAACAGGGCGTTCTGTACGTTGGCCTCATTGTAAGTTCATCATCTGTCATTATCATTTGATATTGGCATTGTGAAAACTCTTATAATAATCTGAAATGATCTGTCTTTTAGTTGTCTCTGAATCAGAGTGTGTCAAACTTCTTCTTAGCCTTTTGTGATGATGCGATAAGTAAGAAGCCAAAGGACTTAGAGATAGAGGAGGAAATAGATGAGCAGCAGGAGGAGGAGCAGCAGCAGGAGAAGCTGAGTGAGGAACAGCGGAGAGAGAGGCAAACTGCAATCCAGAGGGCGGCACAGCCCTCCTGGATCACAGCTGCAGCAGCGCAGAACGGTACACCTGTTTTCATGTACTGAATTAAAGAATTGATTTGTCAGGATGTATAAAAATCATAAAGTGCACTTGTCACTTTTTTTTCCCCATGAACATTTTTTAATGTTTATTTTACTTTCCACAAAACAGTCAAACACAAAACATGAACCTACTACAACAAAAACAAAACAGAACTGCTGCTACCTTACTTCTCTTAAAAGTGGAGAGACCTCTGGAAATAAGCTGTGTATTTTCACTATAGATATATAGATATAACAGAAATACATTCTGTTCAAGGTTTTGAATTGTATCAGATTATGCCTTGCATTAACTGATCAAGCATGTATGATATTACGTACGTACTGATATTAAATGCACTTTTTAATTGTTTAAATGAGGCAAATTTCCCATCTATACTGTATATAGATCTTTTATGTTTTGAATGCCATCTTTTTCCCACTGTTTAAAGCCCAGGTCAAACAGCCCTGGAGGAAAAGCATGGTTATGGCATTTTGGCTAGGCTATAAAGCAAGACAATAAGGCCTGATAAGTCATTTTAAATCTTTTTTTTAATTAAAAATTACGACTGCTTGTACATTTTTAAGAAATAAGTGATGTGCACAGATAAATAACACTGCCCTGCATCTAGAATCATGACAAATGACAGAAGTAAATGCAAACATGACGCAGATATTTTCTTCTACATCTGTGGGTGCTTTATAACATACAAACAACACAAAAAAAATTACAGGATAAAAGCTTATTTATAAACTGTAGTACATATTTTTACACTTCTTTTGCAGTTTGTAAGTGAAATTATACATTTTAAATATTTCTTCTTGTCATGAATACTTTTGACATTTGACTTTTTATTTTAAGTGCATTAAAGCGGATATATTTTGAAAAACCTTCAAAAAACCTGATTTTGTGAAAAAAAAAAAAATGTGACTGGTCTGTAGGCACACACAGACAAAGTGAGTGTACTGCAGCTTACAGAGAGCCTCATCATCTCAGCGTCTCATGACAGAACCGTCAAACTGTGGGACAGACGAACTAAGAAACAGGTATTTTTATTCTTGCTTTTATGCACTGTGTGTATACCAGTGTTTATTTAATTTCCTTTCTGTTTCTTACTCATTTTCTGTATTTCACAGGTGGGCATGTTTGTGTGTGGAGGCCCTGTCAAGGTTCTGGAGGTGAACCCATGTAACCCCAAGGAATTTGTTTGCGGTGATACGCAGGGTCAACTGTACTTCCTGACTTGGAAAAGTTGATTTCCTGAACATCAGTCAAAGGACACAGTCACTTGTTGCATGTCATTATTTGTACATTCGTAATCTTGAATCTTTTTTCCATCAGTTGTAATGTTGCATTCTGTACATTTTCATTTTATTTTACATGCATGAAGCATTTTGCACTAATGATAATATTGCCTTAAACTAAGCCATATGAAGAATATTTGTGTTGATTTTATTATATACATTTTACTGCCACTTGATTACATTAAGTCAATTGATTTTTTTTGAAGGGTTGTACATGTAAAAAGCTATTCTGGGTGAATAAACAGTCTGCAGGTTCACATGGGGAACAGCAGATGTCCACTGAATGTGCTGTGATGGTGTTCTCCATTGTCGAAAATCCATTGTCCAGGATAGAGATTTACCTTCACTTTATCCCCTCTTTCCAGCAGCAGAGAGACTCCATTTGAAGAGCTGATAAAACCACTTGTTTGATGTGCATATGTAGAAATGATATGCTGGTCATTTTTAAACAGGCCTGCAGTTACGGCTCTGTTTTTGTCTCCAGATGCCTTGGAGAAGACCCTGAAAGCATACGCTCCCTTCACAGGTGCTGTAAAGATTCCTGTATCGGACAGTGGTTAATTAGATGCATTAAAATGAGAGTGTTATAGAAAATCCCAGAGATACATTCACACTATATGAACTGATTCACCTGTGTTTGGATCATAGGCGTTTCCAGTGTTGAGGAAGACATGCTTGTAAATCAGGGTGTGTAAACCATTATGAAAGGGTCCAATGTTATGTGATCCAAAAGAGGTCAACAGAGAGGCTGAGAAAGCCACTTTAGAAGCTAAAACATAAACTTATAAATTAGATTTTTAAAGAATTTCATACACTATTGTTTAGAATTTTGGGGTTGGTAAATCACCACAGACAAACAGGACAGGATGCATCAAAGTACTACTTCCTGTTTCTAGAAGTTAGAGTGCATCATGCTTTTTTTAAATGTTTGTTTCCTTTTTCAGGAGAAATCTTACTAAGTTGTCACTCCTCCTCAGCCACATGTTGAATGAACTACAAACTTTGTTTCCCGGGGGAAGATTTCAGGGTGATACTTATAGAATTATAAAGACAGAGGCCAAAGACTTCTGGAGAAAAGCCTTTGGACACAAGTATGAATTTATTATTTTTTTTTTTATGTGTATTGAAAATTTAAACCCTATGCATAAATTTTTGGAAAAAAAACCCCACCTCTCTCTCTCTCTCTCTCTCTCTCTCTCTCTCTCTCTCTCTCTCTCTCTCTCTCTCTCTCTCAAAAGAAGTCTATTTTGCTCACCAAGGCTGCATTTATTAAAAAAAAAAAATCAGTAATATTGTAAAATATTATTACAATTTTAACAGTTTCTATTTTAATCCGTTTTAACCCTTAAATGCATGAATGTTTCGCCAATCATTATTACATATTCGTAAAGCCATTCAAATCAGTTAAATTTTTGCTGATGATATTCGTATGTTTTATGCCCACCGTAATTATGAGTGAAACGTCACGTCATCATTGTGCATCAAAACAGTGCCACCTTGAGGAAAAAAGATGCATTGCACATATCAAGTCATCAGATATGTAAATATAGTTGCGCAGGAAAAAATACTTACACATTTACATACCTCAGGTCTCTAGTGACCCTATACATTTTTACAAAAAAATAATCAGATTAATTAATTAATTCATTAATTTTTTTCTTGTTATACATATTGAGTCGTCAGATATGTAAATATAGTTGTGCAGGAAAAAATACTTACACATTTACATACCTCAGGTCTCTAGCGACCCTATACATTTTTACAAAAAAATAATCAGATTAATTAATTAATTCATTAATTTTGTTCTTGTTATATTGTTTATAATTAATAGATTGAGGAATACTACACTCTAAAAAATGCTGGGTTGTTTCAACCCAATGTTGGGTCAAATATGGTTAGGGTTATGGGTTAAATTTTGGTTACATTTTTAAATTAACTTTTTAACCCAACAGTTGGGTTAGTCCATATTTGACCCAACATTGGGTTGAAACAACCCAGCATTTTTTAGAGTGTAAGAAATTTGGGTAGAGAATGATGTCCACAGTCGCTAAAGACCCCAAGGTATGCATTTAAGGGTTAAAATGTCATTTATTTCTGTCATGGTAAAGCTACATTTTCAACAGCCGTTACTCCATCTTCTTCTGTCACATGATTTTTCAGAAATCATGATTTTTCAGAAATCATTCTAACACTGATTTGGTGCTCAAGAAATATTCTGTATTATTATTATTATTATTATCACATTTGAAAACAGTTGTGCTGTTTAATATTCTTGTGGGGGGGGGAGTTACATTTTTTATATCCTTTTCAAAGTGACTTGATTTGCAAGTCATAGTTTGTTACCTTGATTCTGTTTTATTTGTTCATCCATTTTGATCTTTGTGTCAATCGCTGTATCATACAAAATCTTCAGTTCTTTTGCTTGTTCTAAAATAATAATTAAAAAAACTGTTTAACATATGGACAGTAAATTAAAGCCAAATATATAGATTCACCTTCTTAACCTTTGTCTAGTAGTGATATCACAGAATGCAATTTTACTTTATTGTATAATGTTTCAGTAGAGCAATATGGTTTTATAAATACACTATTGCAGTTTATTTTAAACTGGCACTTTGTCATGTTACCTTCATTCTCTGTTTTTAGTCGTTCCATTTCCTTCTCTATAGTTTTCATCCTTTTTTCCATTATGGTTATTTTCCCTAGTTCTTCAACAATGTTTATGCTTGGTGAAAATAAATCATCTGCTGGTATAGTCCACACATTGAGCATTACACATGCTATAAAAATCAACATTATTTTGCTGTCAGTTGCTAAACCGAATCAACTGAATTCATGTTCTTTTATAGTCTTAAAAACAGAGTGTCTTGCATAATCAACTGCCTTATAGACTTTGGACTACGGAAGCAATAACTAAACTAGGCAGTCCTGAATATGCAGAAGGAAGCATTGCACAGTACTGTGCCTTTATTTCCCTATTTTCCAAATTCTTATTTTCTTCGTTGTTATGCTTAGTTTTTGTTGAATAAAGCTTTCACTCTATTTCTAATCAGTCTTTTTATTCATGCTTTATTCAGATTTACTCCAGAGCACAATCTAAGGGCCTTGTAACATTGTTAAGATTTTGACTGGATATTTAAATTTAATATACACTCTTAAAAATAAAGGTGCTTCATGATGCCATAGAAGAACCTTTTTGTCTAAATGGTTCCATAAAGAACCTTTAACATCTGAAGAACCTTTCTGTTTCACAGAATTTCTTCAGATTATAAAACTGTAAGAAAGAGATGGTTCTTTAAAGGGGTCATATGACAAAATTCTATGCCGCGAACTTTAAATATTTCACATACTTTTGAAAATCGAGCGTTTAGTTGATCCTGATGAGCACTCGTCATCACAGTTGTAAACACGACGGCTTTCTTCTTTGTGAGGGGGTTTGACGTCACGGCATCTTTGTTTCCAGGCGGAACGTTAAAGAACGTTTTAAGCAGTGTAGAGTAGCGCTTGTTGTTTGTCGTTTCTCCGATCACAAATGCAGACATGGTTTTATGTTTATGTCGTGCGATACACAACGTGTAAAATCACAGTATAAGTCATTATAATGAGTAATTATGTCCCCACTGGATGCAATAAATACCTCGTTTGTAATGGGTTTTATTGGTTTTGTCTCATCTTGCCGGGAGATGGCATCACAGTATGTTAAGGGGCGTAACATTTCCGTCACACGCTTGAGGTATTTAGCCAATCACAACCCACTGGATAGCTGGCCAATCAGCGTACACATTGCTTTTCAG